CAAACCGGGCGGGCTGGCGGAGCCCGCCATGGGAGAGCGGCTACAGGAGGATCCCCGGGCGGCTGGCGGAGGGAGCCCGCCATGAGGGCGGCTACAGGAGGGCACGCTTCCTTGGCCCACGGTGGCGGCAGGTAACAGACACGTAAACACAGGAAATAGCCATAAGTATTTATTAAGGAAGGGGGAGAAAGAAAGACAGAGAAAAGAGATAAAAGGAGAGAGGAGAGATAAAAGAAGAGAGAGAGAGAGAGAAAACGCGTGCACACGCCAAGGAAGCAGAGAGAGAGAGAGAGGGTCCCAAGATGGCGATGGGCGGGTCAGAGGTTATGGGAGTGGGCGTGGCTAGGGCAGGGACCCAAGATTAACACAAATCCCTGGCAGTTTACATAAAAGTAGGGCATAGTTGTGTGTGCCTGGAATCCTAGTGTTGGGGGAAGATGTGGGCAGATCCAGGGGCTAGACTAGGCTGCACTGGGATGCTTCTGTGAGAAACTGTCTCAAGGGAGTAAGGTAAGACAAGATGCCTCTGTCCTCTTCCACACACACACTGTTCTGCTAGGGACCAGAGGGGCCCACCCTTCAGAGAGGCTGGCAGGAGGGAAGAGTTGACCCAGATAGGATCACTGCTGGTCATCTCAGATGAAGGAAGAAAGCAACTCCCCTGCAGCTGGAGCCTAGGACAGGGCCTTCTAGGTCTTCTCAGGTCTTCAAAATGCTTCAGGGCGAAGACTTCTCCATTGATGGGCTGGGCAGCTGTGTAGGGGAATATCTGATTCCTTCTAAATGTTATCTAGAGAGCAGGATAAAGAGCCTTTGTTGAGAAACTGCTCAAGTCTGTCCACGAGTGCCTGCCTCTCTGAGTTCTGGCCTGGCCACTGCCCGTGCTAGATAAAGAAGCCATTGCCTCAGGAAGGCCAGGCCAAGGAGCCGGGCATCCTGTGATCTTCAGTCTCCTGAGACCGATGAAATCAAGCTGGAAACACTGTCTTGGCTTTGAAGTGGAGAGAGCAGCAGAGAGCCCACTGTTTGAGGCGGTCGCCTGGGGTTCTGTAGGAAGGGTGGACACACAGCATCCACAGGTGGATGCTTCACTAAAATGCTGCAGGAGTCAGTCTTCGGGAAATGTCTGCTTGGTTTGGTTTGGGAAGTGACATCACCAGGCCTCTAGCTCAGAAGAGCTCACGCACTCAACTAACTGTAGCTCTTCAGAAAGAGAGGGGAGGATACCTGAGTATGGCTCTGTTGGCAGAGTGCTTGCCTGGTGTGCACGGAGCCCTGGTACCAGTCCCAGAACCACACAAACCAGGTGCAGTGGCTCGCCCGGTAATCCCAACACTAAGGAGGCAGAGGTAGGAGGATCAGAAGTTCAAGGTTAACCCGAGAGCAGCTACGGCTGCCTACACAATACTGGGTTTGTCCGCAGTAAATATGCATCAGAAAGAACCTTATGGTGCCCTTCTCCCCCCTGAATACTGGCTACCAATAGATTCTGATGGAGGGGCAGTTAGTCACTGTGTGCCACTGAGGAACCTTCCAGCTCAGTCCCATGGTTATACAGGTGTTTCCAGTTAAACTCATTGGGTCTCAAAACAAAACAAAAAGCCCACAAAGTCAAAATGTGGTGTTTGTTTGAAGGGAGTTTGTAGGGAAGGGGGGGGTACGATGCAGGTCGGGGGGATTTAGGAAGGATATAATCAGAATGTACCTTATACATGTATGAAGTTGCCAAAAAAAAAACCATAAAAGTAAAAAAGAGTAGTTCAAAGTCATCCTCAGCTGCATAGTGAGCTTGAGGCCAGCCTAGAGTACAGGGAGATTCTGCCAAGTAAACCGCGGGAGGGAAGATCTGGTCCGGGGATCCCATGCTGTCGACCCGCAGCTGCTGGAACGAAGACCAATCAAGCTGACAGGCAGCAGCTGCCATCCCAACCTGGCAGGACAGCCCCAACCCTGGGCGCCTCAGGAGCCACCTCCTCCACCAGGCAGAGCCACACTGGGGCTAGGGACTTCCAAGCCCAGTCCTAAGGAGGTCAGTACTGCAGCTTGCCCCAGGCTCACCACCCACCCCAGGCGTCTGGGGAGTCAGAAGAAATTGCTGACCTGTCCCCTAGAGGAATAATTGCATTAGTGAGGTGGCCTCTGGTGGCTTTGTCAGCAATTTCAAGGCTTTGAGTTGAGTAATCCTTTGGTGTCTGCCCCAGCAGCTGGCGGTCACAGGCTAGGGGACCCCTCCCAGGCTCAGCGGGCCCCACACGTGTCTTTCTTGTCAGGTCACCATTTTACCCTTTACGTCTTTCCCACCCGCTCAGCTCAATTCTGAGGGAGCCCAGCTTGCCAAAGATGAATGTCGGGGAGACAAATTCAGAAACAGAACTTCTGTCCGTTAAATGCCTTCTAACCAGATGCTAAGCTAAACTCTAACCCCATTTCTGGAATCTTCCATCGGGACAGAGGAGAGAAAGTAGACCCAGAGGAAGCTTCAACATTAAGGGCAGGGCCTGGCCCTGTGCTGAGACCTAGCAATAGAGAATGGGCAGGTTGAGGGGATACTGAGCAGGTCTGGAGGGATGGGTAGGGGTAAAACAGGTGAGCAGGAGGGGTGCCCCTTAGGCACCCCCTTAACCACTCAAACTCCTGAGCAGGTCTGGAGGGATGGGTAGGGGTGAAACAGGTGAGCAGGAGGGGTGCCCCTTAGGCACCCCCTTACTCACTCAAACTCCTGTTTGCGGGGCTCAGTTTGCCACAAAGCCTCCCCAAGGTTCCCCTGGAGCGACCTAGGACTTTATCCCTTCCTCGGTCCTGCCTCTATACTGCCAGTCCCAAATGAGAGGCTCAAGGCCACCTGGGAGAGAAGAAAAAAACTCCCTTTGGTGTGGACCTCACCCTGGCTCCCTCCACCCCACTAACCATGGACAGTACACCTCCCATCCACCCCCAAGACACAGCCACCCGCTCTAGAGCTGAGGAAGGAGATGTGCACCTAGCTCAGCAAATGCCGCCAGACTTGCTGCTGGTCAGGCACCATGCTTCATGCCCTGGGGCCTGCCTTCATCTGGCCCCGCCACCAGCCACAAGTTCACCCGGGTGTCTCACTGTGAGACTCTGGGGTGAACCTGCACTGGTTCACACCCAGCTCTGCCCCTCCCTCTTTACTGTTCCACAGCTGTGTGGCTTGTGTACCTCCCCACTCTGGGCCTCTCTGACTCAGTCTACCAGCTGTGAGTTGAGGCTCGGTGTCAGCTTCTCTGCAGGGTCACCGTGAGGTGGTGGTTTGTGTGAGAGGACTCCAAACACTTTCCCAGAGCTGTTACTGCTGAGACATCATCTTTGCCTCCTCCTCCCCACCGTCCCTTCCACACCCACGGGTTCTCCATTGCCCTCTGCGTTGGTTCTCGGCTGGACACCCTCAGCTCAGCCTGACCCATTCTACCCCTGCATCTGATTGATCCCTCTGCCAAGTCCTTGGGCCCCACTTACATGTCTGCGTGGGTCAGTTGGGGGAAGAGTGGGATGTAGGGGCAGAGCTGAGGACAGAGACTCTGGTGAGAGCCTGGTGTGGAGTTGTCAAGGAAGCCGTGAATGTCTGCCTTTGAGACTGCCCACAAAGAGGATGGAAGCCTTCCTAGGGTGGCCTTTGGACGTGTGACACTGATGTCATGTTCTGAGTACAGACCTGGGCGGTAATACCCTGGCTTGACTACTAACGGGAGCTTCCGGCCTGGGTTGGAGTGAGGACAGAGAGGGCAGGCGAGAGGCTCAGGGCCTCGGGGGATCACCCTGCAAAGCCCCTGAGCTGACTTTCTAAATCCCCAATAGTGCTTCCCTGTCACAGTGAGGGTTAGCCCCACTTAGGGGGCCATGCCCCACCCTTCTGTTCCTTTAACTCCATGATCCCTCTAGAAGCTCCCAGGCTCTAATGCCCTACACCACCCTGTAGGCAAGGGCGGCTGAGGATGGGACTCCCCTCCCCTGCAGACCAACATGCTATTTCCTGCCCCACTTGTGCCCCGGGAGAAGATGGCAAAGGGTAGACTGGCAGGGACAGGACGGGGTGTTCACTGGGGTGCCGCTTCAGCCTTCTTAGTACCAGGTTCCAAAGCACATTCTGGGAACCATTTAACTTCATTTTCCCAGCCACCCTGGAAGACATGCATTTGGAGGAAACCAAGGCTCACAGTGACAGTGTGTTCTCACTTGCTCAGAGAAGCATGGCCCATCACAGCAGGGATATACACGGAGGTGGATCTATCCTTGCCCTCACCTCTCTTCCTGTGGGGATCCTGGCACCAGGAGGCACAGACTCCCACTCTGTCTCCCCCCAACCATCCCCGGTTTAAGCTGGGTAGGGGGATTCGGGTTCAGCAGAGAGACTGCCTGGCACTAGAGTCCAGGTCAGGGGAGGAAGTGGAGGCCACCTGGGTACTCAGAACCTGCTCCAGGCAGCTGTGTCTCACCGTATCGTGCCATGGGGAAATGCCTACCAGCTTCTCCACTGGCCCCAGCCTACCCAACCCTCCGCTCCACTTGACAGCAGAGACACATCTGCTGATGCCAGCCTTCCAGAGGGCAGGTCCCCAAAGCACTGGCCCCACACAGTGGTCCTTTATCAGGACAGGGGGTGGGCCTCCCAGGACCTGAAGTGAGTAAGCACCCAGGGTCAGGGACCCACACAGGCACCCATGCCTCAAATACATAGCAAATGTCACTAAAAACATTTAAAGTCCTTGGGAAGGTGGGGTCGACAACAAGCCCCCCTCAGAAGATTTGTCATTGGGTAATAGTCGAGCGCATGCAGTCTCAGCCCGGCTCCTTGGTCTTGGGCAGTATGTGCAGGGACAGCGACAGCAAAGAATGGACCGGGATGTTGGGCAGCCTAGGAGTCCATGTGAATACAGAAGGACTGAGCAGCTCCCGGGGCACCTGGGTAAGGCTGCAGGTGTGGCCGGTTGATCCCCTGTGGAGACAGTAAAGATTAAGAGGATCACACACTGCCTCCAGAGCTGTGCTGGGAGAAGTCTGGACCCAGAGCCAAGCTCCAGAAGGAAAAGCTCCTAACTCACACGGGAGGGAAGCAGAGGAGAACCAGGCACCGACAGACACAGTAGACAGAGATTTAGGCTGGGCCGGGCGGCTGCTCACAGGCAGCTGACAGGCTGCCCTTGGGACCTCTGTACCCAATGAGCGCTACAGTGGCTGCCTCTGCTGTGGCCGTGGCTGTGACAGCCTCCAAGAAGGAGTCCCCAGGCAGGTGGGGCCTTGGAGAGGATCCCACAGGTACGGGTATGTCTGGAGGTGAGGTCTGAGCCCTTGAGGAAGAGACTCCAAGCGGTAGGTTCCGGGGGCCAGGAGAGGAGCTGGAGCCATCTGGTCCCAGTCCCCAGGCTGTAGTGAGCATGAAGGGGTCTGCTGACAACCCCAAAGTCCTAGAAACTCAGAGGCCCACGGATCAGGACCTAACAGTGGAGCTGCTGAGGAAGGCAATGGGTGCTCTTGCGGGTTTTATGACTGTTCTCGTGAGAGCCTGCAGCTACCCACAGGGAAGGAAGGGGGCTGGGAGAGTGGAGGCAGGTGGATGTCTGCCGGAAATAGGCTGTGAAGGGGAGGGATTGGTGCCTCAGTGGGGAAGCTGCTTTTCCAGATGGGAATGGCATGACCGGCTAGATTCGGGGAGGTGGGAACCTGTGGACTTGGAAAAGGATGAATGGGGAGGATGTGCAGCCATCTCAGTCCAGTCCTGTCTCCCCACTCAGGCGTGGGCCCCTCACTCCAGTGCCGCGTGTGTGGAGACAGCAGCAGCGGGAAGCACTATGGCATCTACGCCTGTAATGGCTGCAGTGGCTTCTTCAAGAGGAGCGTGAGGCGGAGGCTCATCTACAGGTGCCGCCAGCTCCACCAGCCTGCCCCAGTATGCTTAGCCCGGGTGGAGGTTGTTTGGGAAAAGCGAATGTCCAGATTCAAGGCCTGTGGCCTGGGCATGACGCTGGCCCCCAGGAGCTCCCTGTCCTCCGCAGATGCCAGGTGGGGGCAGGAATGTGCCCAGTGGATAAAGCCCATCGCAACCAGTGCCAGGCCTGCCGACTGAAGAAGTGCCTACAAGCAGGCATGAACCAAGATGGTGAGTGGTGGGCCCAGCGGGGTGGGAAAGGCGGGAGAGCAGGTAGTAGCACTGCCGAGGCCTGTGGGGTGTCCTGAGTCTCCTTGCCTTCCAAGCTGTGCAGAATGAACGGCAACCCCGGAGCATGGCCCAAGTCCAGCTGGGCAGCATGGAAACAGGCAGCGATCCCCGACCTGAGCCCTTGGCGGCCTCCCCTGCCTTGGCAGGGCCCAGTTCCCAAGGCCCCACGTCTTCATCGGCAGCCAGAGCCATGAGCCACCACTTTATGGCCAGCCTTATCACCGCCGAAACTTGTGCTAAGCTGGAGCCGGAGGATGGTAAGTGGAAGGGCAGTGGGCATGGATCTTTCTCCCCCGGCTTCCACAGAGTGAAGTGCTAAGACCACAACCTCCTCCCTCAATAGCGGAAGAGAATATTGATGTCACCAGCAACGACCCCGAGTTCCCTGCATCCCCCTGCAGTCTGGATGGCATCCACGAGACATCAGCTCGCCTACTATTCATGGCCGTCAAATGGGCCAAAAACCTGCCTGTGTTTTCCAACCTGCCCTTCCGGGACCAGGTACACCACACAGCCTGCCCGCTGGAGCTGGGCCAGGCACAGTCGAAAGTCATAGGCCAGTCAGCTTGGGGGAACATATACTCCTGGGCTGTGAGGGATGGAGGCTTACATGACTCAGATGGTGACCTAGGGGTACATGTGTCTCTGAGTTGGGAATGGTCAGGGCAGTGTAAGTATGTATGTCTCTGGGGGAAGGATGTGCACCAGAGATACGTAGAGCCTGGGATGCAAAGTAAGACCTGTGGCTCTCTGGGTCCATTGTTTTTCCTTCTGCACACTGCCTGACCCATAGCCATTCTGTTCAAGACAGCAATCTGCATACCCCGCACAACAAAGTGGCTGACCCTCGGTACCTTTAGAGTGCAGACTTCCCATGACCTGAGGCCCGAGTGTCACCCCAACCTTTCCACATTGAGCAAGCAAAGCTCTCACACTGATCTGGGAGAGAGTGACTGCCAGATGTGCTGTGTGTTTGGAGGGAACAGCTTGGAAAAGTCACCCAGTTTCTTGAACTCACTCTTGGAATCATCTGAAGGCTGTCCAGCATCCCTGGGCTCTAGGCTTATCCTGAATGGCCCAGCCACAGCTCTGGAGAGAATCCACAGGCATCTGGAAACCTAGGTAGCTGTGTAGATAGCTGAGCCAGAGCCTGTGTAGGCAGTGGATAGGAGACTCTGGGCACCTGGGAGCAGCCCTTTTATCCCTGGAGAAAGTGGCAGGCAGGGACCACTAGGAACTGTGTACCTGTGCTGACGCTTGAACCCTCTCTGGTAACAGGTGATCTTGCTGGAAGAGGCGTGGAATGAACTTTTTCTCCTTGGAGCCATACAGTGGTCTCTGCCCCTGGATAGCTGCCCACTGCTGGCACCACCCGAGGCCTCCGGAGGCTCTCAGAGCAGGCTGGTCTTGGCCAGTGCAGAGATGCGTTTCCTGCAGGAGACCATCTCCCGGTTCCGTGCACTGGCAGTAGACCCCACGGAGTTTGCCTGCATGAAGGCCCTGGTCCTCTTCAAACCCGGTACTGAGCCCTGGCCCAAGTTTTCCAGAGACATGGTAGGGAATTTGGGGGGAAAAAGAGGAGGAGGAGGGGTTCAGGGGTTCTGGTGACCTCCTTCTGCTAGGTTCCTCATAAACCCACCTGGGTATAGATGGATAGTCTTCCTCTGGGGAAGTGGGGAGCAGAGAAAACAGTGTGGCCTGATACTTTGGGTACTGTGGGATCGGGCAGGCTTCCGGAAGGGAGCTCACTGGTTCTGCTTCTCCTCAGAGACACGCGGCCTGAAGGATCCTGAGCATGTGGAGGCTTTGCAGGACCAGTCCCAAGTGATGCTCAGCCAGCATAGCAAGGCTCACCACCCCAGCCAGCCTGTTAGGTGACAGTAATGACCCACTCATCCATCTACCCGCCTCGCCTTCCTCCCTCCCTCTACCTGCCTCTCCTGCACTATCTCTGGGCTTCCCTGCTTAGACAGGATAAACGGCTCAGTCGGCAGCATCTACCCAACACCTCCTGTGGACAGACACAGTGCCAGGTCCCAGGAGGGCACCAAAAGACAGAAGCTGCAGGGACGGGTGCTTGGCGTGTAGTCACATGAAAGACAAGGATCACCCAGGCCAGGCATGGAGAGTGACTTGTATCTGAAGGGATAGCAAAGGCCAGACTTTTAAATTTTTACTTTTTAAAGACAGGATTTCAATTTATGTCCCACACTGGTCTTAAGTTTGGAGTTTTCCTGTCTCTACTTCCCAAGTGCTGGGCTCCCAGGTGTGTCCTTCTATGACCCCAGCCTTTGAAAGGGACCTTGTCTCCATCCCAGGATAGGGTCTAAAGAGAAGAGAAAGTCTTATCTGTAAAGGTAGAGACCAGAAGTACGCATCCTTAGGCAGGAGTCCAGTACAGAAGGGTCAAAAGAGCGGGTGGTGGTGGTGCACGCCTTTAATCCCAGCACTCAGGAGGCAGAGGCAGGTGGATCTCTGTGAGTTCGAGGCCAGCCTGGTCTACAAAGGGAGTTCCTGGACAGGCTCCAAAGCTACAGAGAAACCCTGTCTCGAAAAAAAAAAAAAAAGAAGAAGGGTCAAAAGAGTCTTGCTGGTAGGAAGGTGGGAGACTGAGGCAGAGAGCTGCCCTGGGACCAGCCCGATTAGAGCTTGGCATGCCACTGAAGGCACATCTGACGAGAG